ATGCACCTGAACATATGTTTGCCCCATTCTATATGAAAGTTCACGCCCGTACCCCCACATTAAAAGCATTCTGTCTTTGCTACCTGCTTATCTGATCTCTGCATCGATACAATCTACCACTTCAAGACTGCTATCATGAAAGTTACTGTAGAACACCCAATACAGTCTTAAATCCTTATCTATTGCATAATTCTACCTCTCTAGTCTCCACTGCCAGTAAAACGTCTCGTCATACACTCTCTCATCATTGAAATGGTTTCATCTTTAGTTAGCAAAGCTACCCCCCTCCCTACAATTTTTGCCATCTTTGCTGCAGAACCTGTATCTCTTATTCCAAGGTGCCTCGTTTCCCATCTGGTTGTCCTTCTGTCAGCCTTTATTCTTATCCTCACAGGTAACAGATAGGTTGTTAAATAGGTTCAGTTTCTGTAGTTCCTCATTCCCAATCCTATTGGGAGGCCGTGGCCTGGGTGGTAAATGTCACTGGACCAGCGATCCAGGGTCCTAGGCCAGGCAGATGGTGGAATTTAATTCAGCAGCGAGTTCTTGAATTGGAAACTGGTCTGGTGATGACCTTGTCGATTAGTCGTAAATATCCATCTGGTTCACTAATGTCTTTTAAAAGGAAGGAAATCTGCCAGCCTTACCCTGCTCTGGCCTACATGGGACTCCAGACCCACAGCAATGGTTTTGACTCTTAACTGCCCTCTGAAATTGCAAGCAAGCCACTCAGTTCAACAGACAATTAGTTCTAATAAATGCTGGTCTAACCAGCTGTACCCACATCCAAATGGAAGCAGGTTTCCCCTAAGGCACACTGTCGGTCACACTAATCCTAATCTGCACAGCCATATCTTGGTCTATACTTTTCAGTTTGCTGGACTTTTCCTGTGCACACTGGCTTGTGCTATGCGCCAACTGGGCAAAAACTTGAAACAACATCTCCCTAACCCTTGGACCCGAATTTCCAGCTTTTGCAATCCCGTTCCGGCAATGTCCACTAGCTCTTAAAAACAAGTGACATCCAAGTCATCATAGGAGCAAGAAGGCTGACGTTTCCGGCCTAGACCCTTCATCTGATGAAGGATCTAGGCCTGAAATGTCAGCCTTCCTGCTCCTATGATGCTGCTTGGCCTGCTGTGTTCATCCAGCTCTACACCTTGTTATTTCAGATTCTCCAGCATCTGCAGTTCCTACTATCTCTGACATCCAAGTCACTTCCTTGCTTGGCCAGCCCAGAACTGATCATTGGGCTGGGTCAGGTTTGGTGATCGCAGCACAGGAAGAAAATGCAAGGAGAAGCATCATCAGTAAAGGAAGCTGACAACAACACTGGCTGGCGTATTTCAGTTTGTGTGTTTTCTCTCCCTCCACGCACCCCCTTTTGTTGCCATGCTGAATAAATGCACCAACACTAATATTGACTGATGGCCTCCACCATGACTGAACACAAACAGGCTGAGATTTCTCCAAGGAGCCTAGACTCCCACTCTAATTTCTCACTCTGTCAGCACTAATGCTCTCCCCTGATCTGTTAGGGCAAGCAAGACTGCTGTCACAATGTATTGTTAAGTTACAGAATACTGCATCCTCAGTGTTAAAACAGTGCTCGCGCTTAGAATGGGACTAAAATAACGCTACTTAATCATCAAGCTTGTGTTGAAGAGACTGCCAACACAAAAGGGATTCTGAAAACACCAGACTCCCCACACGTACAGGGTTAGCACCAGTCATTTTCCTCTGCAGACCTTCCCCCTCTTCCTTCACAGTCAAATAAATAGACCGGCAGTATTTATAGCTGTGGGGCATATGGAGACTTTCACTGAGCTGTCAGATGGAGGGGGACTTTTTTTTTTTTTAAAAACTTCCCCACGAACCACAGTGTAGCAGAGGATGTTGAGGCACTGGGGAAAGCGAGGGGGAGAGGGGGGCACCACACTACAGGCTCCCAGGGCTGGAGCTGCAGGAGCCTTGATATCATCTCCTGATGATAAGTGATTGTCCTGTTTCTAAGATGCAACATTGAAGCCCCATGATCTTTCAAACCACAACCAGCAGACTCTGGGCTGACTGAGTAGAAACTGACTCATCACTCGCACCCCTACTGATCAACAACATCTTTACAACAATAAGAAAACAATTCCTATGCTGGTTTTCTTTCCCTCCCCCTTCCAGGTTGCATGGGAGACAAACACACATTTGCTACGTCACGCTGGAGATTTTGGCAACGATCTTGCTCAAAACCAAATTCCACAATACTGGCTATTACTCTCCGAAGGGAAGCTGGGATGGGGGTTGGGAGGGGTCTCAGCCAGTACCCTGCTTCTGTTACAAACACTGGCCACACCAGCTGTAGTAAAGTGCTTCTGAAAATCCTGAGTGGGTGAAAGGTGCTATGTCAATGCAAGGCTTGGGAACGCGGTAAGGACATGCGGTGTCAGTCCAGTCGGAGACTCTGCAAAATGCAGGGACTACTGTGCTCATAGACATGCTATCAAATGACAGAAGACTGATATTAATCTCTGTCTGGGCTACCGCAAGTCAGTTATGATGACAGACTAGACAGCCTGAGGTTATTTTCCTTATTGCAGAGAAGGCTGGGGTGGGGGGGTCTAATCGAGATCTACAAAATTATAAGGGACACAGATGGGGTACATTGGAAGGAAATGTTCCCCTTAGTGGCGGGGGGGTCAATAATAGGGAGGGAGCAGTATAGATTTACGGGTAGAGGATTGAGACAGTTTGAGAGGCAGAAACCATTCTAGAATTGCAGGTAGACAGGGTGGTGACGAGTCAGAGAGATATACAGCACCCTTTGGTCCAACTCGTCTGTGCTGACCAGATATCCTAAATAAATTTAGTGCCTTTTGCCAGCATTTGGCCCATATCCCTCTAATCCCTTCCTATTCATGTACCCATCCAGATCCCTTTTAAATATTGTAATTATTTTTATAGGTCAGTGCATTGAGTATGGGAGTTGGGAGGTCATGATGTGGCTGTACAGGACATTGGTTTGGCCACTTTTGGAATACCGCATGCAATACAAGGAAGGATGTTATGAAACTTGAAAGGGTTCAGAAAAGATTTACAAGGATGTTGCCAGGGTTGGAGGTTTGAGCTATAGGGAGAGGCTGAATAGGCTGGGGCTATTTTCCCTGGAGTGTCGGAGGCTGAGGGGTGACCTTGTAGAGGTTTATAAAATCATGAGGAGTATGGATAAGGTGAATAGTCAAGGTCTTTCCCTCAGGGTGGGAAAGTCCCAAACTAGAGGGTACAGGTTTAAGGTGAGAGGGAAAAGATTAACAGGGACCTGAGGGGCAACTTTTTCTCGCAGAGGGTGGTGCGTGTATGGAATGAGCTGCCAGAGGAAGTGGTGGAGGCTGGTACAATGACAACATTGAAAAGGATTCGGGATGGGTACATGAATAGGAAGGGTTTACAGGCATGAGGAGGATGCTACAATCAGGTCAGAGATGACGGGTTTGCTCATAACTTGGAAACAGCTCTGACACGCCTTTTCTCTGCGTTAGCCTCTGCAGCAGTTGGCTGTCGCGCATTTGAAAGAGGAAAATAACATGGCTTGCGGTCTGGCGTGTAGACAATCTAATTTATTTTTGGAAGAGCTCCCAAGTCCCGGGATCTCCACTTGCTGTCAAAGATTATAAATGAACTGCAACCACGTCAAACCGCGAGTTCCTCTGTTGAGAGGTTCTTTGGCTTGTGGTCTCCTGCTTTGTGGGATCGCTTATATTTGAATTAGAAAGCTCCCCGAGTGCTCAGTTACCTGGTGGAAAGCTCATAGCTTGTCCTGCTGTTTTACCTTAAATGGGTGACTTGAACGAGTGACAATCCCTACCATTCTGGGTCTGTGAAGCGACTCAGCCAGAATTACCTTGATCCCAACACCCACTCGAGTTCAGCCAGCTCCAGCTCATCCTCCCTACATCTGAAGGACTGGTGTGACCTCTTCTCTGCCAAGGAACCACCTCTTGCACTCCCTGGAAAACTCCTCAGAACCGAAATAGAGAAACCGTAGAATCCCTGTAGTGTGGAAGCGGGCCATTTCGCCCAGTGGGTCCGCACCGCCCCTCCAAACAGCATCCCACACTACCACTGTAACCCCACATTTCCTGTGACTAACCCACCTAGCCTGCATCTCCCTGGACACTATGGGGTAATTTAGCACGGCCAATCCACTCTAGCCTGCACACCTTTGGACTGTGGGAAGAAACTGGAGCACCCGGAGGAAACCCACGCAGACACGGGGAAAGCTTGCCAACTCCACACAGACAGTTACAACTGAACCCGGGTCTTTGGTGCTGTGAGGCAGTGATGCTAACCACTGAGCCACTATGTCATCCAGTATGAAGGGGGCAGACGATCGGAAAAAGCGGGATACCAGTATCCAGCTGCACCGACATTAATCACTTTAGAAAGGGGGCTTGCGTGGGAGCTGAGCAAAACTAGCTTGGGATGCTGTGGCTGAACAGAATCCCAAGCTCACACAGTGGACATTCCTCACGACATGCAAAACCCGAGCTGCAGTTGTCACTGCAGCTCGTGGAGCGCCGCAGTGGCTTCTCAGGCAAGTTTCCCTTCTATATTGTTTGCCAGTCTCCCCAACTCTCTCTCTCTCTCCCCCCCTCATCTCCCACATCTCTCCCAAAGGTGCTCACTTTCAAGTGACCCGAAGGAGCAGACACACCAGCTCAGTAGCAAAGACCCAGTTAGGATTCCGCTTATCATTGCAATGACTGTGTCGTAGGCTCTGAGCTCACCGGCAATGGAAGCATCGCGTGCGCACATTTACAGGAGTCTGGGAGCTGGACTGACACATTGTGGAATGCCTACTCCAACAGTCAGTGTCGCTTCCTCAGAACTGGCGAGAACAGCAGCCCTAAAGGACCGACTCACCGACAGCAAAGGACCTCACGCATTAGACCCGCGGCCGTATCTCACGCAGCGTGTGTTTTGGGCAGATGGACTGGATGGAAGGATACTGAGGACGAGAGAGATTAAGGCCAGGATGGTGAGGATAACCCTGATGTGGCCTATCCAGTGATCCAGAAGTGATATCGCGACTTTGTACGTCAGGATGCATTGTAGGCAGATAAAGACCATTCCCGCGGGAAAGGCCACTCCGGCACCGATGTAGTGCAAGCTTTTGACGTGGTCAACCTGGCGAAACAGGAACAGATCTTGAAGCTTGGCCACCAATCCAGGAGCTATAAATACTGCAGTACAACGAAGCTGCTCAACTGGAAAACTCAAGCTGCACGAACTACAGCCACTCAAGGCTCACGTCACCTTCGCAAGGGCAATTAGGGACAGGCAAAAATTGCTGTCTCAGCCTGTATCTTCTGAATAAATAAAATGCAGTCCACACAACATTATATTTTAGACATTGTATCATATATTTGAGCTATGTGAGAAGTGCCCGCTGCATAGATTAGAAATGCTATCCACTGTTGTCAGAATCTGTATGTCAAGCGAGGAGTCAGCAGCTTAGGAGAAAGGCCTGAAAATGTAAGGATATTTTAATAAAAAAACTCACGTTGTTGGTGCAGAGCAGGTATTGGCAACATTTTTACCTTTAAAAGTTTCTTCAGCTAATTAGATCGACCCAAAATAAAAACAACAGGGAGCTGCAAGACCAACACAAAAAACAAAAATCAACATTTCTGAACCAGATACCTGTCAAATCGCCAAGTGACGTTGGTAGGATGCATTGTTTGCAAATGCAAAATACGTGGACTTAATGTATGCAGTGAATGGATAACTAATTAAACTACGCCTAACCCTGAATTAGTGTATTTTCACTCTACTATAATTTGTCCGTGAAAAGACTCTTTAAAACAAACTTTAACTTAAAAAAAACATCGAATTAAGACAACAAGGTGCAGAGCTGGATGAACACAGCAGGCCAAGCAGCATCATAGAATTAAGACATATCTTTTAGGCAATGATTGTTATGATGAATTAGTGTCTAGTTGCACATTTCGAGAGTAATTTTATATCTCAGCTGCTTTAGAAACTGAAGGCCCGAAAGGCTGCAGCCCTAAAATCTCCAAGTCAAATGCACTACCTTTAACCATGGTGTCATGGTCGGGAAGGTGGTGGCAGAGTGGTAATGTCACTGGACTGGCGATCCACAACCCCAGGCTAATGCTCAGGGAACACGAGTTCAAACCCCACTGCCGGCGGGTGATGAAATGTGCATTCAACAAAAAGCTAGTCTAATGGCAACCGCGTAACACTGCCGATGTTTGTTAAAAGCCCATCCGGTTCACTAATGTCCTCTAGGGAAGGGAGTCAGCCTTCCTTACCCGGTCTGGCCTACGTGTGACTCCAGACTCTCAGCAATGGGGCTGACTCTTAACTGAGCAATTTGAGACGAGCAATAAATGCTGGCTGATGTCCACATCCCGTGAACAAACTTCAAAAGCTTAAACGTTGCTAAAAAGACATGACAATGAAGTTCTTTGTCAGTGACTAAACTGCGTGGAGATTGGGTGTTCCTGCACTTAATCCTGCCTCATTTCCTTTAAGCAATATTTATTGACAGCGCAAGGGTGTTTCTCGTTTGAAGGGGATAAAATGCTGCGTTTAGACCTCTTTTATTGAGACAAGCCTCCTGCTTTCCTGGATTTAATTCTTCCTGGGGCGGGGGGGGAGGGCCAGGGGGGGGGGGTGGGGGTGGGGGTGGGGGAAGGTTGGTGGGGAGGGGAGAGAAAAAGTCCTTTTTGTCACGTTCACATATTCTAACTGGAAAAGTCAGGAGCCGCAACGGAAACCAGAAAGTGTGTTGCACAAGGCTCTGCACCTCCGGTTTAGCTGCATATGTCATTGTAGCACCTTCCCCACGAATGTTCGGGGCATGAGATGGAAAAGCTCCCTGATGTCTCTCAGCACAAAACTGAGTGCAAAGAAAACCTGAGTGTTTCGCTGACTTAAGAGTAAAGCACCAACAGCAAATTACAAGGATGAGGTTGCGCTAATTAGAAAGGATGCAGATGTGCAGTTTATATAACGACAGACCGCAGAAAGGGAAAATAGCAGGAACGTAATTGAATAATATTTGGGGAGAGCAGTATCACAAACACATCCACACCTGATCCCGCACAAGCACACTGGCAGTCTGCCAACTGCTCCTGCGTCCTCCAACATTTAACAAAAAAGGTAACAGGGAGGCCTTACTTGGAAATTTCCGACCATGATCAGACCGACTGCATTAATGCAGCCGGTGACCAGGGCGCCCGTGTTGATCCACATGGGGTGGCATCGCTCCAGAATCTGGCCGTAGCGTAGAACGCAGATCACAACCACTGGATGGACAGAAGAAAGACAAGTGGCCATCAGTTTAGGACAGCCACGAGCAGCAGATAAGACAGTTCTCATCAGACTACAACTACAGCCAGTCCCATCCTAAGACGTAAACAGCTCGTTTGGCTAAACACCTTTTTCTCGAGTTTTTTTGTGTTACATCAAACTGAGTCATGTTCATTTGAAATAAATCTCTCCGGTCACCAGGCATTCTGCACTCTGAGGCAATCTTGGACATATACAGATCAGAGCTCCCTCTGCAATGTCATGGAAAGTCACCCATCAAACACATACACCTGGCAGTGAACATACAGCACGGGGTTAGGTACCAACTACAGCTCCCTCTACACTATCCCCCATCAAACACTCCCAGGACAGGGACAGCATGGGGTTAGATACAGAGCGAAGCTTCCTCTACACTATCCCCCATCAGCACTCCCAGGACAGGGATCGCACAGGAATAGATACACAGTAAAGATCCTTATTTCCTACTCCCAACAAAACTTCTTAATTCAAGTACAAATATTCTCATTCAAAAATGCAGCTGTTGGTGAAGCTATTAAAAATCAAATCAAATGGATGTCACTACAGGCCTCTCTAGTGACGCTGTCAAGCAATCATTATGCCTATTATTTTGACGTTCCTCTGCTGACATCGGAAATAAACTCAAAGGTAGTTTCACGAATATGCCTTATCCAAGTGATTATTCTTCACACGAGACTGGACAGCGACCATGAAACCACGAAGCGAGCAGGCTACACAACATCCATTCTTGATCAACAACAGCTTGTGTTTCTGAAGCACCTTTAACACACTGGAGCCAAGGCGCACTGCAGAGGGACAACCGGACATGGAGCCAAAGGCAAATTCTGTTAGGATGGCGTTGGCGCCTTTTAACGAGGATCTGGAAAAGTGAACACCAATGTGAAAGATAGGGAATTGCAGAAGGAACTCTGGAGTTCACAGTTGGGGCATGTGTGGACAACAGTGTGACAGCGGCTTGCTGAATGCATTGGAAATAGTGCAGTGGTAGAGAGAGCTCAGTGGATAGCAGAGCTGCAGGGCAGTAAAGAAGGCATTTGGCACACTTGCCTTTATTGGTGAGTATAGCAGTTGGGAAGTCATGTTGCAGCTGTACAGGACATTGGTCAGGCCACTTTTGGAATATCGTGTGCAATTCTGGTCTCCCTGCAATAGGATGGATGTTGCGAAACTTGAAAGGATTCAGCAATGTTTTACAAGGATGTTGCTAGAGTTGGAGAGTTTGAGCTACAGGGAGAGGCTGAACAGGCTGGGGCTATCTTCCCTGGAGCGTTGGAGGCTGAGGGGTGACCTTACAGTAAAATCATGAAGGGCATGGATAGGGCAAATAGCCATGGTCTTTTCCTCCAGGATAGGGAAGTCCAAAACTAGAGGGAATAGGTTTTGATTAGGGATTTAAGGGAAAAAGAAAATCACCCAGAAGGTGGTGGGTGTCTGGAACTCACTGACCAGATGAGTCGTTACATTGTAACCCTCAAGACATTTACCAGTGGGTAGACACACTCTTGAAACTCTGGAGTGTATAAAGCTAATGGTCAAGTGCTGGGAAATGGAGTGAGAATAGATGGATTTTGACAACCAGGGTGGACATGATGGGCCAAAAAGCCTCTTTCTGTGCTGTAAAACCCCCTGTTAAATTGAACGGCATTGAAGCAGTGACTTTTAGAGTTTTCAATCCTGGACTAAAGACTAAAACCCAATTTGGATGGTGATGGTGGCTTTGAAAAGCACGTAGATCGCTTAGCAGTCTGCCCAGTTTTTAACTCCCACCCTCTGTTCAAAAGTGGCAGGAGTAACCGACTCAGAAAGGCAGTAAGAATGATTCAGCTCTCTGATTCAGTAATCCTACAGTCCGACTGCTGCTGAGGAACAAACCAGTGAATAACTTACCCATAAAAGCCCCCACGTTCCCAATTAAACTGAACAGGCAGCTTTCAGGAGGGTACGAACCACACTTACTGTCAAGAACATATAAAAAAAAGGAGAGTTAGTACGGGAGCCATTTCAGTAACTGCTCCCCATTATTCCCTGTTCCCCAGGGGCTGCAGCCTCTCCGAGATCCCTGACAAAAGGCCATTTCATGCAACAGACAGAAGGCTCGAGTATCACTGGGCTTTCTGACAATATGATTGTCAAAGTTCAGCCTGACATTACCTGCCAGAGGCTGGAAGCACATTATTCAGTGGAGGTGTAAGGGGCGGTGGGAGACAGGAATTGGCTTATTACTTCCTCCTTTAGGCTGCGCACCTGTGTATTATTTATTTTCCCATTTTATACTCAGTCACGTCAGAGCGTCTTATTCAACATCAAACAGTGAGGAGGGGACAGTACAGAGAAAACACACAGCACCAGTCACCCCAAGGGAGTTTGCTCATTCCCTCACAAACAGTTCAAAACAATGAAGGCCCTGCAAACAGATGACTGTCCTGAAAGTGGAAAAGGAGAACAAGGGAATTCTTTTTATTCTTTCATGGAAAGATGGGGGTAACCCAGGCTAGGCCAGTATTTGTTTTCCATCCCTAACTGCCCTCAAGGTGGTGGTGCTGGTGGTCAGCAACCTTCTTAAAAAACTGTAGTCCATGTGGTGTAGGTTAAGACACAATGCTGTTGTGGGCAGTTTCACAGTTTTGACCCAATGACACTGAAGGAATGGCGACCGTTTTAAATCAGGAAGGTGTGGAGGGGAAACTTGCAGTGGGGTGGTGTTCCCATGTACCTGCTGCCCCTTGTCTTTCTAGATGGAAGTGGGTCGTGGGTTTAGAAGGTGCTGTCTTTGGTGAGTTGCTGCAGTGGATCTTGTAGACGGTACACACTGCTGCTACTGAGCGTCGGTGGTGGGGGCAGTGGGATGTTTGTGGATGTAGAGCCAATCGAGCAGGGGGCTGCTTTGTCCCCCGACGGTGTCAAGCTTCTGAATGTTGTTGGAGCTGCCCCCATCCGGGGCAAGTGGGGAGTATTCTATCACACTCCTGACTTGTGCCTTAGTGGTGCAGAGGGCAATGAGTAAGGAGATGCGTTACTTATTGCAGAACTTGTAGCCACAGTATTTATTCGGTGGTGCATATACGATTCAGGGAAATGTCACAAGAAAATGTGAGTAGCAATGCAAACACGTTGTGAACTGGGGAGGGGTGTCGGGAAACAATTTGTTTAGATTATAATCACGTGCTGTTGAGTGCCACAGAATATTCTCCAGTATGGTGAGATTAAAGTTAAGTGTGACTGATTAACTTGGCTAAAGGTTAAAAGGGAGAGGACTGCTTCAGCTCATGAACTGAGGATGATTTAAGGTAACTGGCAAAAACAAAACAGGGAGGACAGATGAGGATGATTTGGTGTGAGTCAGTGACCACTGTCAGAGAATTAGTGACCGGCAATACAGCTGCAAGGGAGATAACAGAATCTCAGGGTGGGGTGGGAGTTGGTCCTAAAGACTGATGGGTTTAATGTCAATGGCAGGAGAGATTATAAAATTGCTACTTATTGACGGAGCAGAAAAAAAAAATCTAGAAAGCTGAAAAGATAGCCAGGGAGTCGGCCTGGATTTGAAGGGACAGTCAGGCTTCTCTGACTGTGTTGAATTCTTCAAAGAACGCACAGAAAAGGTAGAAATTTTTTTTTAAAAATTGCAGTAGGCGTAATATACTCTGATTATCCAAAGACCTTGGTCTATCAAGGTTAGCCTTATGGAAGCAGTGGGTGAGCAGCAGAACGGATATCTAATTCAATACAAAGAGGGAACAGGAAGACGGAGGGCTGGATTTCCTGTCAAGAGGAAATATGTTGTGGGGTGGGGTTGGGGCAGGATTTCCAGTTAACTTGCAGGAGGTGACAAATGCAGCATGCGCTTGGTAAAGGAACGTCAACATGAAACGTGAGGTGGTAGGAAGGAATGAGAAGGCCACAAGAGTCTTGGACATTTAAGTTTCAAAACAGGAATGGAAGAATCAGAGACCTGGCTACATTAATCACCAACAGCAGCTGAACAGCAACACACAGTAATCAGAGCATTGCAAACAAACGGTTTGCACTACTCTAGAGGGGGGAGGATTGAAAAGCAAATGAATTGTGTTAAACTTGTATATGACCTCAGTTAGAGGGCTCTGACTACTGTGCACCATTCTGGTCTCAGTGTTATATAAAAAAAAAAATCTTGAGGCACCAAAGATGATGCAAACAAATTGAACTAGAATCATGTAGTTATATTTGTCAGGATAGATTAAACAAGCCAGGGCTCTTTCGCACAGGCAATAGCAGAACTGATCTGTGGTGGCCTTGGAAAGGGTCTGATGGAACAGAATAAGCCGTACATGGGTGACAGTGACGGACAAATTCATTTGGGCCTTGCAGCAAATTCGTACAAGCCAGAGCCTCAGTACAGTGTCAAACACATCGTCACCGATCCACAGTTACAGATAGGCAGGACCAGGCAAGGATGGGTGCTGTTTTAAAACCACGATCCCTTGATTGTGATCACGATTGGCGAGACTAGAATTTTGTTCCAGATGAATTTGGTGGGAATTTGAATTTGTGTCCCTGGAACATTAATCCAGGCTTTTGGATTACAGGCAGCTGAGGTCTCCCGGACAATGACTTAAGGGGAGGAGACTGGGGCCCTTTTATGGCTGATCACTCATGGAAGACTGTCGAACTTTTAACTGTTTCAGAGATAGTAGGAACTGCAGATGCTGGAGAATCTGAGATAACAAGGTGTGGAGCTGGATGAACACAGCAGGCCAAGCAGCATCAGAGGAGCAGGAAGGCTGACGTTTC